GCGTGAGGTATCTTCTCTGGTACTTTCTCTTTTGACACAAGAAATACCACTCAAAACAACTTGCAATGGAGAATTATGATATTCTTGCTGTATAGAGTACCTTTTGTGTTTAGAGCTTGATATAAAAACTTACATATATTTAGCACAAAAGTACAAAAAATAGTAGTATAAAGAGATTTTGTTTTTGGCATAGTGTGTTGATAGATGATATACATGCATTCATAAGGACAGTGGTGTAGTTTTTCATTTTGTTTTTTGTAGACAGAACTGCTAGTCTGACAAGAGTGATGTAAATATGAATAAACATCAACCTTTGTTTACAAAAGTTTGTGCATTTTGTTAACCATGATATATCATGTGACATATCGTGTTCCATATATATAATTCTATTCTCTTTCTCTTTTTAACCATGGCTTTAAACTGACATTTCTCGTTGCCTTGCTCTGACCCTGTGCGCCCTGCAGTGCCCCCAGCCTGGGTAGTAGAGCCATCGAGTGCCAACGTGGCCCTCGGCGGAACCGTGGCCCTCCACTGCCTGGCCAAAGGGTTCCCTAATCCCACTGTCGTCTGGAGAAAGGAAACGGGTAAGTTGTTAGAGGAATTATGCTGTCTGTGCTTTATTTAAGTGAGGCGGATTATTAAAGGGATGAGATAATCTGTTAAGATGTTCTATCATTTAAGTTCGATGGTTTTGATGAGCTGTATTTCATCTCGTATTCCCAATGTTGGAATCTGTCGTTCCTTATCGCAAACAGTTCGTCTCTCCATTAAGATTTTCACACTTATTCTTGTTTTCTGTTCCATTTCCTGCTTTAGTCCCACTTTTGCCTCCCATCGTTCCATGTCGCTCTTTCTGGAACATTCATGTGATTATGTGACGAAAGTTGATCCCAGATCAAAATGGACCTGGATATGAGGATACATTTTTTTAATCTATTTAAGCCTCTGCTAATGCAATTGTATTAATTATCAACCCAGTGGAATTGATTAATTAGTGGTATATAATATAAATGATGGCGACAGAGCTTATATGAATTACTAGTCAATTAATAGAATATTTTTCTTTCTATTCTTGAAATTTAACTTAAAATATACAAGAATCGGCAATGATATACATCTATACATCGATCGACAGATAGATAGAACAGATAAACATATAAGTTAAAATACGGAATAATAGGCATTCTTTAGAAAAAAGAAAAACAAAAAAAACTAGCGTCTGTTATCCCCCTGTTTAAGAGGAACGAAAATAAGTTCGTTGTCCTCACAATCTTCGTCACGTTTGTTGTTGTTATGGTTTTCGATGAAATGGAAATTCGAGTTATTTTGGATGGGCGCGAGCTGATGCTGTTGACAGGCATGGCGCTGGAAACTACTGGCGCCAAAAAAAATGTATTAGATGTATTAGCTTGTGTGTGCATTAGACATTCTTTTGATGCTTATTTCTCATCAAGATTAGTTTATTGTGTGTTTAGACTCAGTGATGCTATAAGTGGAAGGTTTATTCCACAAACGCACATTCAGATAAGACATAAACAAACGCACATTCATATAAGACATAAATACACGCACAACCAGACAAAAAGACAAAAATCAGGTTTAGGACTATTAATAGATCTAGAAATATATAGGTCATTCGTTATCAAGTTAGATTCATGGTCTATAAGAATCCGTGTTCGTACTATTAAGTTTCTGTTAAGTATGCGAAAACACAGTAACTTTGATCAGCAGATGAGTAAACCATTAGAAATTAATTAATTATTGCGAGAGCTTTAAGAATTATACAGGATATTAAAAGAGTCTATTGTCCTAAGAAGCTTCATTTCATTGACAGTTCTGTCGACAATGCCGCTGGATAATTTAAACTTTGACGTATAAAAGAAAAGAGAGAGAGAGAGAAAAAAAAGATTCTCAACTTCAATTTTCAGATTCCATTACACAGACTACAACACGGATATTTTGGTCCATGGTCTATTACAATTGCCTCGAAACATTACTTTGGTCTGCCCTGGTCTGCGTTAGCTTTTCGCTTTCATATTTGGAAACTTGTCTATTAAATAATAGACATGTTTCCATCTGTTGGTTCTCTCCTTAATGGCACATTTCTGAAGCATCAATTTTTGTTTCCTTGTCGTTTTTATTCTCTACGTCTTTTCAATTGATTTTATGTAATAATTACGCTAAAGATGCAAAGTTGAGATGTTAAGTTTGAAAACGACTTGTGGCCTTGAAGATAAGAACGTTAACAGGGTTCTACACATAGTAATAGGCAGTTTCTCTCCTTATCTTACGCACTAAAGGATAAAAGGTCCATTTTACAAGGGAGTAAAATCTATTATGAGCACGTAGGATAACTCACCAGTTTACGTTATCATATATATCCTACTGTATATTCAGTTGAAAATTCAAATGTAGTTACCATGAGTTCGCTGTCACTGAGTGTATGTCTATAGTATTTAGTCAAAGTATCGGTCGAATTATCAAATATGTCCCTTACTCTCCCTTTCCTCTTCGTCCTCTCCTCTCCCCTTTCTTTACCCTCCTGTCTTCCCACCTCCTTCCATTCCTCTCTCCCCATCCTCATTCCTTCCTCCTTTCCCATTATCCCCCACTCTCCTTCACCCAACTTTCTCAGCGTTCCTCCTCCTCCTCCTCCTCCTCCTCCTCGTCCTTTCCCCTCCCGTCCCTCCCCCTTCCCCTCTCCCTAATCCTCCCTCTCCATCCCCACTCCTGTCTTCCCTTATCGCCCACTTTCCCTCACCCCACTTTCTCAGTGTTCTTCATCTTCTCCTCCTCCCTTCCCTCTCCTCCCTCCCCTCCCTTCCTCCCTTCACCCCTTCGTCCTCCTCGTCCCTCCCTCCCCCTAGTTTATTATTTATTTGATTTATGTACAGGTATTTGCTATAAATTTGTTACCTCGTTATAGCTAAGGCTCTAGGAAGACATATAGACGCCAGATTAATTAAATCCAGGTAATCATTACAGTGAAATATGGCTGAAGTTGTATGTGTATATGTGTGTATGTCCTTGATTGATTGAGTTACTTACCTGTGCGTGTGTGTCTGTGTTTATCTGTGTGTGATTATGTGTATTTGTTAGTTTGTGTGGGTCTGTGTATGCTTGCGCGTGCGTGTGTATGCGTTGGCGTGTTGTATTGCGTCACGCATATGTGTAAGTACCTGTCTTTGTGTATATGTGTACATATATCTAGCTATGTACGTGTACTCGCCTGCGCACGCGTAAGTGGATTGTGTGTTTCCAATATCATTCGTCCAATATATATTACTTGGCGTCGCGCGGCCGTTTCATGCAGCAATGGTCGTCGAAAACAGATTTTATAGCAGGTATATTCTGAAAGCTTGACAGGTTTGATCGCCGAGAGAGATGTTGGCCACTTGTAACTTTACAGCGCGCATTTCAAGCTATTGTGTGCTGCCCGGATATCGTATTTAAGTAAATATACCGGCCGTGACATTGATTAGGAGATAATTTTCCGGCTTCCGTATCAAAGACTCAAAGCGATCAATGGGTCTGTCGTAATGGCTTTAAAAATGTTATATTAATTCTGTTAGGTTCCATTTTATTCAGTGTTTAAATAGGCATTAAAGCAACTACATGCCTAAAGCATAATTAGAATGACAAAAGTTATGGCTATCAGTGCTTTTGGCATTTTATTATAATCATCATCACTGTCGATATCATTATCATGAGTTATCGTTATCAGTGTCATTGCTATTAGGATTATTATCATCATTCTCATCATCATAATAATAATAACAGCAAATAAAGTAATGGAAATAATAATAATAATGATAATAATGGTGGTACTAATAATCTTAAAAATAGTAATGATACTACTACTACTACTACTACTACTAATAATAATAATAATAATAATAATGATAATAATAATAATCATAGTAATAATAATAATAATAATAATGATAATGAAAATAATAACAATAATAATAATACTAGCATCAATAATAATTTGATGGTGATGATGAAGGGGATAGTAATAAAGATATGATAATAATAGTAATAATGATAACTATTATCATTATTATGTATATTTATTACTATCGTCATTATCACTATTATTATCATCATTATTGTAGTTATTATTATTACTATTATTATTATTGTTATTGTTATTATTATTATCATCATTATTATTATTAGTAGTAGTAGTAGTAGTAGTAGTAGTAGTATCATTATTATCATTATTATTATTATTATTATCAATATTATTATTATTATTGTTATCATTATTATCATTATCATTGTTATTATCATTACCATCATTATCATTATCATTATTGTAGTAGTAATAACAGGAATGATAATGATGGTCATAATAGCATTGATGATAATGGTAATGATAATAGTAATAATAATGAGTAATGATAATTGCTATCATAATTGTTATTTCATTGTTTTTATTATTCATTATTATTGTTATTGTGATTATTATCATTATTATTATTATTATTATGATTACTATCATTATCTTTATTGTTGTTATTACTATAGGTATTATTGTTGTCATTATATAGTTATTTCTAATAGATAATGATGATGATAATAATAATAATAATATTGATAGTGATAATAATGATAACAGTAATAATGGCAATAAAATAATGATTATAAGAACAAGAATGATAACGATAACACCAATAATGATAATGCCAAAAATGACGATGGTAATGATGATAGTAACAACAATGAACTAACAACTATAATAACAATCGTTATCACCATAACGATAATAATAAAAAGAATCATACCCAGTTTGAATAAAGTACAGACCGAGGGAGGAAAATAACCTTTGATTTCTTTAATATTTGATAAAGCGATTCAACTCCGCTAATGAAAGCAGATTGCAGTCTCCGAAAAAGCTTTAAAAAGTCCAGCAAACCACCTGTTTCTCCAATCCGGTATCAAATTCTGCGGGAAAGATCAGAAACGGGCAAGTTATTAAGCAGTTTGAGAACGCA